AAGAAGCAGTACATGAAGATTCGGCCGCTGCTCAACGTCCTGCTGGCCTCCTCCGGCTACGTGGACAAGCTCTTCCTGTTCAACTGCCTGCGCACCCACAACTACACCATCGACTGCCAGGAGTTCGAGAAGCGACTCCAGCTGATGCGCAACATCCTCGCCTACGATGCCAATGCCCAGCGCCTCAAGATCTTCCACAACTCGTTCGCCGACTGGCTGGTGGACGTCAAGTTTGCCACCAAGAAGTTCATCTGCGATGTCAACGAGGGCCATGTGATGATATCGATGTACTATCTGCTGGTGGCGGACACCCTCTGCGCCAATACGGTCCGCCGATTCGCCTACCATCTGATCAAGTCCGGCGAGTACCTGACCAGCCGCCACGTGGACATGGATCTCATCCTGATGCTGCTGGAGTCGCGGCTCAACCTGAGCGACTGCTTCTACACGAACCAGATTAACTGCTGCGCCCAGTGCGAGCACGACTTCAAGTACGATGGCAATTTCCTGCCCAAGACCCGCTCCATGCTGGAGCGATTCCTCGCCAACGACCTGAGCGAGCCCTTCGCCCAGTTCCTGTGCGACTTCTTCAAGCCCAGCCTGCCCACGGACGCCAAGATGCTGAAGCTGCTCATCGAGACGGGCATCAACAATGCCGAGTCGCAGAACTCCTGCGAGTCGTCGCTGATGTCGCCCGAGCTGTCGGAGAAGTCGCAGAACATTGACTTTGAGCTGGCCGACCTGCTGCTCTCCAGCGAGAAGAGCTGCCTGCTGGAGACACAGCGGGCGGGCAGCCCCTCGGAGCACAGCGAGCCGCCGCACGAGAGCCAGGACGACAATGCGTCCAGCACGCTGCACCAGCTCTCCGACTCGCACCACATCGAGCTGCACAAGGGCAAGGCTCTGATCCACATCTTGGCCAACGACGGCAACCACCAGCTGCTGGAGCGGGCCCTCAACGCGTGCAAGAGTCCCATCGATCTGGAGATCGAGGACTACAACGGCCAGACGGCCCTCAATATTGCGGCCAGGAACGGACACCTGGAGGTGGTGAAGCTCCTGCTGAGCTTCTCCCAGCCCTGCAACGATGGCACGGGCCGGATGAAGCGCGTGGACGTTAATCATGCGGACAGGGATGGCTGGACCCCCTTGAGATCCGCCTCCTGGGGCGGCCACAGCGATGTGGTGCGTCTCCTGATCTCCCAGCCAGCCTGCAAAATAGATCTCGCGGACAAGGAAGGACGCACAGCGCTGCGGGCGGCTGCCTGGAGCGGGCACGAGGACATCCTCAAGCTGCTGATCGAGTCGGGCGCGGATGTCAACTCTGTGGACCGACAGGGGCGCACTTCGCTGATCGCCGCCTCCTACATGGGCCACTATGACATCGTGGAGATCCTGCTCGAGAACGGAGCAAATGTCAACCACCTGGACCTGGACGGACGCAGTGCCCTGTGCGTGGCTGCCCTGTGCGGCTCCTCGGGCTACAGCAAGGTGATCTCCGACGCTGCTGGACCATGGCGCGAACACGGACCAGCTGGACAACGATGGCATGTCGCCGCTGCTGGTCAGCTCCTTCGAGGGCAACGCCGAGGTCTGCGAACTGCTGCTGGAGAACGCCGCCGATCCGGATCTGGCCGACTTCATGGGGCGCACGCCACTGTGGGCAGCCTGCACGGCGGGGCATGCGACGGTGGTGAAGCTGCTGCTCTTCTGGGGATGCGGCATCGACTGCATGGACTCCGAGGGCCGCACAGTGCTGAGCATTGGCGCCGCCCAGGGGAACGTGGAGACGGTGCGGCAGCTGCTCGACCGCGGCCTCGACGAGACGCATCGCGACAATGCGGGCTGGACGCCCCTGCACTACGCCGCCTTCGAGGGCTTCCATGAGGTGTGCATGCAGCTGCTCGAGTCGGGAGCGAAGATCGATGAGTGCGACAACGAGGGAAAGACGGCCCTGCATCTGGCCGCCCAGGAGGGGCGCCTGAACTGTGTCCAGGCCCTGCTGGACATTCACTCCAGTTTCGTGGACCAGAAGGCGCACGACGGGAAGACCGCCTTCCGACTGGCCTGTCTGGAGGGGCACATGGAGACGGTGGAGTTTCTGCTCAAGTTCTGCTGCGACGTCAACTCGAAGGACGCGGACTCGCGCACCACGCTGTACATCCTGGCGCTGGAGAACAAGCTGGAGATCGTCAAGTACCTGCTGGACATGACCAATGTGGATGTGAACATTCCGGACAGCGAGGGACGCACGGCCCTCCATGTGGCCTCCTGGCAGGGGCACGCGGACATGGTCAAGTGCCTGATCGAGGCCGGGGCCGATGTCAACTCGATGGACCTGGAGGCGCGCTCGCCGCTGCACTCGTGCGCCTGGCAGGGCAACCACGATGTGATGAGCATCCTCCTCTACTACGGCGCCCAGGCGGATCACGCCTGCAAGCAGGGGGCCACCGCCCTGGGCATCTCCGCCCAGGAGGGGCACGAGAAGTGCGTCATCGCTCTGCTGCAGTTCGGCGCCAATCCGTACAAGTCGGACCACTGCGGCCGCACCCCAATCAAGCTGGCGGCCAAGTCCAGTCGCACCAGCATCCTGAAGATCTTCGAGAGCTACACCAAAAGTAAGACCAAACGCCGGATCATCCTTGTGCTCTGTTACTAATGCTTTCCCTCTGCCCAACTGCCCCTACCCTCACTCCATAGATGATGCTAGTAATCCCAACGAACCCAAGTTCCATGCGCACGCCAGCATGCTGCGCTCCCCGGACCAGCCGCCGGCACTGCCCCTGCACCAGAACCTGTCGCCCTATCCGGCCCATGCCTCCGCCTCCTCGGTCTGTTCGGCGGCCACCACGGCCACGGTGCACAACGGCAGCCAGCTGCACGTCCTCAATGCCTCCAGTTCCACGCACAGCTCCAACAACTTCTACCAGAACACCATGCAGTCGGACACGAGCAGTTTGCACAAGCGCAAGAGCGTCATCTCTAGTCAGTCCACGGGCAGCAGCAATGATGTGAGTACCCTGCATGGACACCCCCTTGGCATTCGAATCTCATTAATTTCGTTTTGGTTTTCGTTTACGTTGCAGCAAGCGCCGCTTACCTTCACACAGCAATTGCAGCGACAGAGCAAACTCAGCTCGCGGAACAATCTGATGGTCAATTCGAAGCACGCCTCTGGGTCGGGACACAAGTCCAGTGGGGGCGGAGGCGGTGGTGGCCAGCGGCACTCCCAGATGCTGCCCGATCTCAGCGAGCATCAGCTGGGTAAGCACAACTCAAACCTCACACCTCAGAGCCAAAGCCAAACTAATCACGTATTTTATTCGACGCACAGCTTCCAACATGACCAATGAGGCGGACATGTACGATATGGAGTGCATGTCGCCGCTGTATGCCACGCCACCGCATTCGCCGAGCAGCGAGCTGAGCTCACCGGGCCAGCTGCCAGGACTGAATGCATTTGTGGATGATGACAGAGCGGGCACGAGCAGTGGCGGTGCCAAGGCCTCCCTGCCGGATAATCATTTTGCCCGAGACACGCACATGCGCATCATACTGGGAAATCTCAAGGAAAACCAGCCCAGTTCCTCGGGGTGAGTCAGGGGAAGGAAGAAAGGAAATCTTCGAGAGCATAAACTAATATATTCTTCTGGCCACAAACAGCAAAAGCAAGCGCAGTGGCGTGTCCAGTAATCCGGCAATGCGGCTCATACGCAGCCGCTTCGATGCCGCCTCCCAGCTAATTCGACGCACCAACAACATACTCTCCTCCAGCAGCAATCAGGGCTCCTCCAGCATTGGCGTCAAGTCGGGCACCTTCCAGTGGCGCAAGGAGAGTCAAATGTAATGGAAAACGAAAGGGAAAGCGCATCCTGTACTGTATCCCTGTATCCCACTTGCATACTCAATTATCAGAGCATATTAATTTATTTATTTCTTATCGTACTTTTGATCGAGTATTTGGTTCTTTTGTGATAGTTTCAATTTTAGTACACATTTTAATATGTATTCTGTATCTGCTGATTTAACTAAAATATATGTAGGCATATACACTATCCATACAAACGTAGTCTAAGGCATGCGCCGAGTATTAAGCTAGCGATCCATACATACAAATACGATATCTCGTCATAACCAACCCCAAACACTTTTGGCATGCATCTTGTAGTGGACTTTGTTCTTCAATGTACTAGGCAAGAAATCTAACGAAATTCAAATAGAGACGACAGACAGACAGACAGACACAACACGACGCGAATGTGCATGCTGGAGCAGAAGCAGCAGCAGCAGCACTGTTCCCAGGACGTAATTTTAAAGTAGTATTTATTAACATTAACAAAACGGAAGCAATAAATTATAATTCAACTTTAATATAATTTATGCTGGATAGAGATCAGAGCTGGCCATGATTGTGGGGCTCTGTGAGCCATACTACTCCAATGCGGCTATAGCAATGTAATTTATTTATACGTACCATTTAATACACTGATGATTTATGCTGTTTATGTCAATTCCCTGAAGCCCTCGCCCCAAGCGAATACAATGCATTATATTCGCTCGCAACCAAAAGCAAAAAAAGAGAGAAAAAAACACTCAATGCGGTCCGTTCCTGTACCTAAAACACTCGTCACTAATTTTATGTATGCCCTGTTAAGCCGGTTGAACAAACGAAATACACATTATCGAAATACACTGATTGAATACTATTTTCTGAGCCTCTACGCCCATTACATACTGCAAAGCAGCCAAACGATACACACCGCAGACAACGTACTTGGCTAAACACCAAATAAACCAATTAAATTAAATAAAAAGTTAAACAGCGAACACACTCACACTCACTCACTCACTCACAGAACATGATGGATGGATGGAAACCTAATTAATTGTTAACGAAGAAGAACCTTAATATATATACATACATAATATACCGCAGAACACAGTTGTTTAGATATTAATATTATACATAAATACATATATATATTTCAAGCAAAAATGCATATTTACAAGTTAAAGTACAGAGTTATTCAATACAACACCCACGCCCCCCAATATTATAATAATCACTAAATATAACCGAACAGACACACACACACACACACACACACTGGCAGTAAATGCATGAGAGAGGAGTGGAGAGAGTGGAGAAGGGGTCTCAAAAACCAAAGATAAACCCATTTACATTTGGAAGTAATGTACACACGATACCTACATATACCTAACATATAACTACATACATATATACTTATATATAGTATATGCATATGTACTTATACATTGTACGAGCAGTAGTGTTGTAGTTTGGAACGAAAACAAAAGGTTGCGATAAATTATTGACAAAAATTGATACAGGAACATTTACACAAAACTTCTGGGTGTGTGTTAAATTTACGAGTAAAGAAACAAACAACTTTTTGAGCGTGGCGACGAATACCGAAGCATATATACGTATACATATACATATATATACATATATAACTCTGAATCTGAATAAACTGTATATTCATACAATTAAATTAGAGTAGTCTTTCTTATAAGTTCAAACGTTCTTTCAGGAATGCACTCGCACACAGCAGTCAGCAGCCAGCAGTCCAGTCTACTACTTGCTGGTGTCCACCAGAATCTTCGGATTGGCCACGTGAAAAACGCTGGGCACCATACCAGCCAGCGTGGTAAACAGGCTCTCCGATATATCATCCGGCAGTAGCAATTGCAAAGTGCTGCAAAAATATAATCAATTATAGTAATGCCCAGGCTGTCCAACCATAAACAAAGAAGCTCAAACAAACCTTAGCTCTGCACCGCCCCAGGACGCTGATTCAATCATGAATCCTTTGGCGCATTTGAAGACCAGCTCCGCCCGCCTGATGCACCACTGCACGGTCATGTCCTCGCTCATCTCGTGGCGCAACAGAGCCGGAATCGTCAGCGTGGTGATGTCATGTCTGCTGGCCGTCTTCAGGATGTTCCTCAGGCCCAAAATCACCGGATGACGCGAGTTGATCTCACTCGGACTGTTGATGGGCTCGTCCGAGATCAGATGGAATATGACATGGGATTGAGACAAATTCGAGTGTCTGGTGATGAAGAAGTCTCCCGTTTTCAGTCGGGGCACATGCTTTTTGGTGGGCGAGGGTGTGACGCTGCCCTCGGCACTGCCGTTGCTGCTGGCAGTGCTCGGAGTGCCGCTCGAATCGGTGGTGCTAAGGGTGCGGATCTGCTTCTCGATCTTCTCCATCTGAACGTCGATCTGCTCAAAGTGAAACTCTGTCGACCTGTTGGCATTTTTGATGATATTCTTGTTGGCCTCTGCCTGAATAGACGGCGTCAGCACCACGACACCGCACAGGGAGCTGGAGTAGAGGCCCAGGGCCATGTTTAGGCCATTCAAGCTCTCCTCGGCATGCAGGGGACTGCAGAGCTCCGTCACGTTGGCACTGAGAATGCGAATGTTGTGCATGTGTTTCAGCTGGGAGCCCAGATGTATGGTGAAGCTCTCCTCCATCGACGGCTGTTGCGAAACGAACATGGAGGAGCGATTGCCCAGCGGCGTGGCCACCGGCGAGACCTGAAACATTTGGCTCACTTGACTCGTGATCCAGTCGCGGTACTCGTTCTTCTGGTGACCCATCTTGGCCTCCAGCTCCGACTCGTAGCGCTTGCGGACAAAGTTCTGGGTGGTGTACTGCTGGGCCAGCAGATTGTTGATGTCCTCCGAGGTGGTGGTTATGTCCAGCTGATTGATCTGGCTGTCCATCTCCTGCTGCTGGCTAGTATTGAGCGTCTCCACCTCACTGTCCATGTGCTCCGTCATTCCGGCTATGACTTTGGCGTAGACTCGTTCTCGCTTGAGGATTTCCTCCAGCGACGAGGAGTGCACCAGGCGATGGAAACTCTGCGCAAATATATCCTCGTCCCTGGGGCCCACACGATCTGCAAACTGCAGCAGCTCGTCCTTGTACAGCCGCTCTGTATCCCGCACAATGGCCTCCAAGTCGAGCTCGTCGTTGGCCGCCTGTGCGATCAGCTTTTCGGCGTAGTCGTCCAGGAACTTTTGGTGCTCAGTGTCCACAAAGTCCTGCAGCTGCTGCTCCAAATCTGAAACGGAAATTATTGCTCAGATTTACCGAATTGAGCCTGCATTCCGTGAAATACCTACTAATGTTCTCGTCCAGATACCGCATCATGGGATCCATTTGGTTGAGCAGCTGCGTCAGACACTCCTCCAGGTTCTCCTGGTCGAAGGGGAATTTGATGTCCAGCTGGACTGCGCAGTCTTTGTTTTCATGGTCCTTGTAGTTGTACACAAAGCTAACAGTACGTGTGGCAGTAGAGTCCATGTCGGAATGCTTTGGCGAACAGCTGCAGTAGCAGTTCCTTGATGTGCAACACGAATCTGTACAAAGGAATAGGTTGTAAGTGAGCAGTTAATGGCGATGGGTTTGAGCTCACTTCAGTCCTGTCCCGGTAATTGAGGGCTTATCGGGATGTCTTGTAGTAGAGAAGCCTTCGCGTGGATCGTAGGGAGAGATCTTGCTCACGAACGACTTGATGCAGCTGAAAGTGCCATAGGTTCTGCGGGATGGCCCAAATTTGTTTTTTATTTTTAATCCAATTGGAGCTCACTTTTTAACGCAAAAATGAGCCATCACAACACAACAGCTGTCAGCGGCGATCAAACGACACTTAACCCACTTAACACCCCTCTATTTAAAAAGTTGAGCACCCTTTGTTAAACCGCGGAAAATAATACATTCTGTCAAGGCTCGTTGTAGCTCCATCCTCCTCTTTACTTACAAAACAAAAATGATCACCTGTAATGCGTAACATATGTATGTTAAAGTTACATAAATTTCGTGGAAATATTAAATACCCCCCTGGTCGACAATGGGTTAACGAACGAATATACTGACCAAGTCGAAAAATACCATTATATACGGACATCTAACAGCTGTTGATGTTGGCACAATCGGTGCTATTAAGTGCAACATAGAGAACTGTCAGTATGTGCTGTAAAGCGCAAATGTAAAACTACCGTGAACGCGCAATTTTCCGTGTGCACACTAACATTTTGAAATTAAATTAAAAACCAAATAATTAAAACCCGTACAAGTTGATTTTCAGTATGATATTGCTTTATTTATGAAGGTCAAATAATAAAACTAAAAATAATATTGAAATACGTACAAAATCAGTCTTATTTTTAGCCTCTACCGTGGGGAACTCGTACAGCTTCCTCCCCCTCCTTGGGCTGCGCGTTCAACATTCCCAGAGGGCCCCATCTGAAAATTACAACTTTTGTGCTGTTTTGGCAGAAGGAGACTTACCCATGGGCCGGGCCGGATCCCCCATCGAATTGCAAGCAAAATGTGGATGGTCCGGGTCCGTGGCTGCTTAGTAGCTTCGCATTACTTTTCAGCCAACTTGCAACAAAAATTACAATAATACAAAGTTGTAAATGTCATGGATGTTACAGGGGAAGAGAGAGGGAGAGATGGTGAAATTGTGATAAAGTCGCGTAAATGAAGTGGTTAAAATGAATGGCCCGCCCGACAACAAACGCTACGATAACAATTTGCTGGCTGCTTGCTTGCCTCCTTTTCTTCCTCGACTCGAATCGAATCTCTCCTTCATTCCAACTTCTCCAACTTACACTTCTGCTCAGATAGATCTCTCTTCGCTGCTGATGCGCTGCTGCTCTCTGCTACAATGTCAACATTTCAAAGATACACAAAAAACTACAAATCTTTAGCTAAACAGATTTCTTATTTTGTTTTAAGTTTTGTTTTTTTTTTTTGGTTTTTTTTTGTCGAATTTACATCATATTGTTGCTGTATATACTTATGTATTTTCGAATCTTGTATTTCGCTACATTAATGTGTAAAATTTCGTTAATTATAATTGCGCTGACCTCAGACGACAACTGCATACAGACTGATTGCTAAAAGGTAGATTACATTTAATTGTTGCTTGATTAAAACTAAACATTGGAGATAAGTTAGTTCCATGTCGTCACTTATATATGTACGTACAAGAAAGCTAAGACTCCTCCACACGGTTAGGGTTGGGTTCGGTTCGGTTCAGAGCTCAGCTGTTCGCTTAGAACTTGAATGTGTGATTGTGTGGTACTCTTAGTCGTACACGTAAATTAACGCTAAGGCAGCGTGCGGCAGGCAGGCAGGCAGCTGAAGGATGGATTGCCATTGCCATTGCCATTACCATTACCGTCACACCGCACACTCTACTCGTTTAAGATTATGACAACTTAAGCCTAGTGAAAGTCGTAAAATGTAATACATATTTTCATAAGTTTGTGTGTGTGTTTCTGCGCACTGATTATCAGAAATTGTCACGCCCACAGCCCAATTGTTGCATGGGCGCCAGCTTGCTACATAATCGAAATCGTACAAATAAAGAGGGCCTCTCGGCTGCCGCCCTGAAGTTTTACATGGCTGATTGCATTTATAGGGTCGGTAACAAGGTAAATGATGTTGGTAAAAAGATGGTAAAAATTGTGTGGATTGGATATACAAATGTTCGCTTGTACGCGCGCTTTTGTTCTAATTTACAATGTTACTTATACTGGTTGTTGTTGCTACAAATGGTTTGAATTTAAGTATATATTTCTATGGGTATTGGATTGTTTTTGATGCGTCTCATAGAAGGGGTAATCAATCATCAAGTGCAATAAGCATTAGGGAATCGTATCGTATCGAATCGAATCGAATCCTGGCCAGCTGCTGTGTACGTGTACTGCTGCTTGTTGTGTGTGTGCATGCTGTGTGTGTGCGACTCGACTCGACTCTCTCTGAATAATGCTTTTGTCTGATATTCAATCTGTGCCCTCTGATCGATGCACACACACTGCTGCTCTGCTCTGTACTTGTACTGCTGCACTGCTGCACTGATCTCTCATTCTCATCTCATTCTTTTTTTGTCTGTCTGAACTGCACTGCTCTTCTCCTGCTCTGCTCTGCTCTCCTTTCCTTTCCTCTCCACTTCTCTGCTCTGCACTGATCCTGATTACTCTCTTCTCTTCTCTGTCATGTTTTGGTATGGTTTGTGGTGCTCGGAAAACTTCTTCATACTTCTTCATACTCATTGAATTGCGTATCGTTTACTTGACTGTGACTTTTGGGTTTATACTGAGCGACTTCTAATTTATCACCTATAAAATGTCGATAAATGAGAAACGTTATTTAAAACAGGTTGCATACGAAGAGAATTCTTAATTGGTGGTTTTGGTTTTGGTATTGGTATTGGTATGGGTTGGTTTTTGTTTTGTTTTGTTTTCTAAATACGTTTACGAAATAAAATAAATAGTTGGTATATAGTCTTAATTAATGTTCATATATGTATGTGGTAGATTGAATAGATATAGTTGCTTAGTTTCGTTTCTTCAAGTTTTTTGAACACAAAAGGTGTTCAAGTTTGCATTTTCAGTCCTAAATTCTTTTACAAAACACTACCAAAGCAATGGCGATAATTGAAATGGCCTACTCGCTATGTTGATAAAGAAAACAAAAGAACAGATATACGCTTGTAGAGCCAAACGAAAGGTTAATGGATTGATTGGCCATGGATTGGATTAGTTGTTGTTAATGGACCGACTTCACTTTACTTTACTTTCGTAAACCATAACTAATTAAACAGATAATGGTGTCTCACCTCGTCTGGTATTCTCCCTCAATATCTGCGGCTGTTGCCGCCACCGCTATTGAAGCCCTGATTGTTGCCGCCATAGTTGCCTTGGTTGCCACCGCCTAAAAGAAAACCCAGATCACATAAGATCATATAAGCATTCTCTACTAAATACTTTACTGATTATAATCAGTCTCATCAGTCCGCCAGGCGGACTACAAAAATACAACTAAAACTGTAACGAGGCTGCGTGTTACGACGTATTGGGATGCTTTTTGTTTGTTTGTATACATGTGTGTGTACGCATAACATAGCGGAGGCCAGCGTCCGTTTATCCTCACAGTATGGTGTTTTTCTTAAAGCTAACTGCCAAACTCTATCGATGTTCTAACAGTTAGGTGTCAGGGTACTGTGTGCTAATCTCTCAAATGCGTCTATTCTGTTTAAGATGATTCATTCGGTACGATTTTTCTCACCTGCTTTGTTGCCAAAGTTGCCTCCTTGGTACGGCTGCATGCGGTTGCTGTTGAAGTTGCCGCCGCGTTGGGGACCGCCGCTGTAGCTCTGTTGGTACCCGCCGAAATCATTGCCCCCACCGTTTCCCCAATTGGAACCGCCACCAAAGTTGCTTCCGCTATTGCCATTATCCCAGGGACCCATGTTGTTGCCCCAGCCATTGTTGCCGCCGCCGCCGCCGCCGTAGCCGCCTCCAAAGTTGTTGTTTCCGCCCCAGTTATCGTTGCCCCCACGGCCCCCATTTCCCCAATTACCGCCGCCATTCTGAAAAAATATTCATACGACAGTCAATTTATAATGCAATTAGAAAGTGGGTCTCATCGAAGCGATGCACTTACCCAATTACCGCCGCCATTCTGATTGCCGTAGCTGCCGCCACCGCCGCCCATGTTGGATCCTCGATTTCCACCGCCTCGACCACCCTGACCGCGTCCACCACCACCGCCGCCGCCGCCACCCATTTCATTCTGCTTGGGCAGGGCCTTCTTCACGTCCACCATTTTGCCATTCAGCTGATGTTGCTTTTGCACTGAAAAGAGTCAAGTGAAAGTGAACCCCAATTAACATTTGATTAACATTTTATTAGGCATTCCATTCTCCACTCGAGAACTTCGAATGAGTGTGCCAAATACTCTTTCATCACTGATGCACAGAAGCACCAGCAACAATGATATAATACTGGCTGGGGTTTCATTTTACAGCCATGAAACGCCGCACAGACACATCGAACATTGCTGTGCGGAGCTGGGACTGTGTATTTATTTGATTTCAAGTACATGGAGACAGATTTATGAGTGTAACGAGGCTGCGTGTTACACTGAATAGAGATTTATACATTCGCATAACATAGCTTAGCCGACGCTATCATTCATCTCACAGCGTTTAAAAAGAAACTGCTCAGGTGTGGGGATCAAACAAGTCAGTTTGTCAGTACTGTGGAAGCCAAAAGGGAATGGTTCTCGAGTTTCAAGGTGGAAATTGTAGCATATACATATGTAAACTTACAGGGTGTCTAGTCAACAGAGATAAAATATGGTAGGGACTGTGCCAAATACTTTTTCATCGCTGATGCACACAAGCACCAGCAACAATGATAGAACTGATAAAACAGAATATAGAACTAGATGATATTGTAACGAGGCTGCGTGTTACACTGAATAGAGATTTATACATTCGCATAACATAGCTTAGCCGACGCTATTATTCATCTCACAGCGTTTAAAAAGAAACTGCCCAGGTGTGGGGATCAAAACCAGTCAGTTTGTCAGTACTGTGTATGTGAAAGGTTGTTGTTGTTGTTTCAAAGGGTAATTTGTATCATGAAGACACACGGTGTTTATGGTGAGTGGTGTGCCAAATACTCTTTCATCGCTGATGCACGCAAGCACCAGCAACAATGATATAATACTGGCTGGGATTTCATTTTACAGCCATGAAACGCCGCACAGACACATCAAACATTGCTGTGCGGAGCTGGGACTGTGAGGAATATAGAACTAGATGATATTGTAACGAGGCTGCGTGTTACACAGAATAGAGATTTATACATTCGCATAACATAGCTTAGCCGACGCTATCATTCATCTTACAGCGCTTTAAGCATAACTGTTCAGGTGTGGGGATCAAACCAGTCAGTTTGTCAGTACTGGGGTTGTTCTGGTGTTTCAAAGGGTGTAAGGTCACACATTTTATTTGTAAGGGACTATGCCAAATACTCTTTCATCGCTGAAGCACACAAGCACCAGCAACAATGATATAATACTGGCTGGGGTTTTATTTTACAGCCATGAAACGCCGCACAGACACATCTAACATTGCTGTGCGGAGCTGGGACTGTGTATTTATTTGATTTAAAGTACATGGAGACAGATTTATAAGTGTAACGAGGCTGCGTGTTACACTAAATAGTGATTTGATTTACATTCGCATAACATAGCTTAGCCGACGCTATCATTCATCTCACAGCGTTTAAAAAGAAACTGCTCGGGCGTTTGGATCAAACCAGACAGTTTGTCAGTACTGTGTACCTGTGAAGGGTTGTTCTGGTGTTTCAAAGGGTGTAAGGTCACACATTTTATTTGTAAGGAACTATGCCAAATACTCTTTCATCGCTGATGCACGCAAGCACCAGCAACAATGATATAATACTGGCTGGGATTTTTTTTTACAGTCATGAAACGCCGCACAGACACATCGAACATTGCTATGCGGAGCTGGGACTGTGAAGAACATGTAACTGAATGACGTTGTAACGTGTTACAATGAGCAGAACAGTGACGAGGGTGGATTGTTCTAGCTTGAGGCCGTTGTGGCGCAATACAGGGTGGATAGCTAATAAAAAGTAGATTTCTTTTCTCTTCTTACCATTGAAAATGGTCCGGGCTTCTAGAATACACTATATGAAGATGCCTTTCTACTTACACACAACTTTGTCCACGGGATCGTAGTCATCGAATTCAACGAAGGCAAAGCCACGCTTCTTGCCAGTCTCCTTGTCCATGACAATATTGATGTCCACAATGCTTCCAAAGTGCTGGAAGTAGTCGCGCAGACTCTGCTCATCATGGTCATCCTTGAGGGCGCCGACAAACAGCTTCTTGACGGTGGCCCCAGCATTCGGCGAGTCAATGTCCTGGCGTGGCACGGCACGCTTAGGCTCAACAACGCGTCCGTCAATCTTGTGGGGACGGGCCTTCTGGGCCTCGTCAATCATGGTCGAGTGCGAATAGGTGATGAAGCCAAAACCCCGCGAGCGCTTGGTACGTGGATCCTTCATGACCACCACATCGACAATTTGGCCCCATTTCTCAAAGTGCGCCTTCAAGTTATCATCGGTGGTGCGGTAGTCCAGACCACCAATGAACAGTTTACGCATATGCTCCGGCTCGGTAATATCCTAAGAACACAAGCAAATTATTGATTTTTTTCACAGCCAAACCTAACCTCGCTTTCACTTGAAGGCACATGCGTAATTTTCAAAATGGCGTCCGCTGAGACACGCAATGGAAAAATCATAATTCCGACAAATATCTACTTACATCATCGTGGCCGTTGGAGTTTCCGTTCTGATTATCGTTATGGCCGCCCATTTTAACTATTTTCAATGCTTAATGCTTCGCTTCACTTTATATTAAAATTTTTTCACAGAAAATTCACAGACACAAGCGTCTAGCGTGACAGAGTGACGATAACGATAAGTCCGGTAGAGGTGTCACACCAAAGAGGGTACTATAGATAGTATCGATATTTTACTGCTAGTCGAGCTACAGTCGTTGCGCTTTTGATATGTTTGGATTGGCTGCTATAAAATACGAAGACAAATTTGTAAAAAAAATCGACAGGTGGCATCTAATTTTTACAATGGACAAGTTCCTAAAAGGTTTCAGTGGTTGTTTAATAATTATTTGAGCCCGATACTATTACGATAGTATCGATATTTTTTTTCAAAACATTCGACTTTGATATTCCTCGATATTGATATTCCGTTTAATATTACCAGCTAGCTGGGACTCTCAGCCCTAAACAAATAATTTTATCCGATAGATACATACATTTTTTAAGAGATTGGCAAGTTTTCAGAAGTCCTTTTTATTGGATTATTTACATATTAAGGTTCAAACAAAAACAGCATAAAACGAATTTGTCGTCGTTTTGTGGCGCTGCCAGACTCGTGCAATTCGTAGTTGCTGCGGGGTGCCATACCGTGATATTTTGTGATATGAAATTCGTCAATTTTGATATTCAGTTTAATAGGCTGTTTACATTGGGACTGCGTCATGCTTCTTTGCGTCGGCGAAAACGCAGTTTATTTTACATAGGTTAAGCATGGGGAAATTTTGGTTCGGGATCTGGTTCATGTGCGTCTATTCGATATATTCGATTGCTTTTGCGCTTAACTGCACATTTTTGCACTTTTCTGCCTACAGCGCAACTATCACCTCTAAGAACAACAAACCCTTGTAGTTAAATAATCAAATTTTGGCGCTAAAATGAATGGTTGTGCAAAAAGGTGAAAATATACATAAAATGAAATAAAATACTTGAAACTGATTGTATTATTATCATACGACATTTTTGTGATCCCCTGATGCCATTATGACACTGCTGGGACGAACTTCGATGGTTTTCATAATTTTAAGAAGGCCTCCCACAAGCTGTACAAAGAAATGCTGAAAATAATAAATAAATATAAGAATCAATTCTCTTTCGTCCATTTTCTGTCGTCTCGCATAATTCTGTTGATTTCTCAAATTTGTTTACTTTCCTTGTCATCAAGCACCCAAAACAAAATTCAAGGCGCGTCTTCCAGTGTAAACGCCTTTTCTGCTTCATTGCGCTGTTCCGATATCGATAGCAGACGCGCCCAGTGTAAAAAGGCTATAATATTACTGGATAGTTGGCCCTCTAATCCATAAACAAATAATTTTATCCGATAGATACATAAATTTTGTTCAGGATTGGTTAGTTTTGGGAATGCTTTTTCTTGGATTGTTTTCATATTAAGGTTCAAACAAAAACGGCCAAAGCATAAAACTTAAATTTTGACTAAATGTGACGTCAGTGTGCGGTCAACCAAGTTTCTTCATGCGTATGGACTTTTGTATACCTATTTCTTTTAATTGATGTTAAATGTTTTGTCCAAGCTCCATTAAAACATTATTTATGATTTGATCCTAGATTGACATGTTTTTTTACCTCTAAATGCATATGTTTGTGTTTTATTTATACATTTATCCCGGTTCTAATACCTTTTGGAACCCGTGAGATGCAAAATTTGGTTAATGTCTTTAAAACAGAAACTGAGTAGTTTCTGCATTAATTGGAGCCTGAAATTACAAACAATATCTCAAGTCCATAATATCCATTTTCCCAAGGTATGCAGATTGTTGCTCATTTAGTGCCAAAATTGCACAACAATGCTGCTAGTTCATTTCCCCAACATGCTGCCACACCACGAAAATGAGATGAAAGTCTCCACAAAACACTCTATTCTCCACTTAAAAGAGAGCACGAATGCGAGCAAATTTGCACCAATTGGAGCAAATTTTGCAACTCTTCACAATGGGCGAATAATATCGATATTTTGTGTTTTTGTGTTAAAGTTACATAAATTTCGTGGAAATATTAAATACCCCCATGGTGAACAAAGGGTTAACGATATATTTTATTGACTGAAATCGTATTCCATCATTTTGATATTCCGTTTAATATTACTAGATAGTTGGCCCTCTCAGCCGTAAACAAATAATTTTATCAGATGGATACATCAATTTTCTACAAGATTGGTTAGTTCTCAGAAGTTCTTTTATTGCATTGTTTACATAAAAACTTTTAGACAAAATCGGCCAAAGCATAAAACGCAAATGTTGATGTGACGTCTTTGTTGCTGGGCAACCAAGTTTCTCTTTGAGAGAGCGAAAAATTTATATCGATAATTGCATTTTTGTTACATCGATAGCTACATTTTACTATTGTCACAGCAGCCAGCTTTTAGTGTCGTAGTGTGTTGCCAGATCAGCATAATTAGTTCGAAGTATTTCAGCATTTCTGGCCGGTCACATTTTGGTCACACTAGCCGTTTCATTTAGCATAAATTAATAATAATTTGTTAAAAAAATGCCGAAAAAAAAGACAGGACAGCGCAAAAAGGCTGAAAAGCAAAAGCTGCGCCTCAAGGAGATTCGCACCCGCGAAACCCCGCTGGCCGATGTGCCCTGCAATGCGCCGATGGACTGCGACAAGTGCGAAAAGAAGCAAAAGTCTCGGGCGTTCTGCTACTTTTGCCAAAGTCTGCAGCGGCTGCCGATCTGTGCCCAATGTGGGAAGATCAAGTGCATGCTGAAGACGGGCGACTGCGTGGTGAAGCATCCCGGCGTGTACACCACCGGCATGGGCATGGTGGGCGCCATTTGCGATTTCTGCGAGGCCTGGGTGTGCCACGGCCGCAAGTGCCTGACCAGCCATGCCTGCACGTGTCCACTGCAGAACGCCGTCTGCTTGGAGTGCGAACGTGGCGTTTGGGAGCACGGCGGGCGCATCTTCAAGTGCTCCTTCTGCGATGGCTTCCTGTGCGAGGACGATCAGTTCGAGCACCAAGCTAGTTGTCAGGTCAGTCCACCTGCAAGTCCATTTATCCATTCTCCTACCAACTAAACTGAATGGTGTTTTTTTGCCCTGCCAGGTGCTGGAGTCGGAGAACTACAAGTGCCAGTCGTGCAACCGTTTGGGACAGTACTCGTGCCTGCGCTGCAAGACCTGCTACTGCGAGGATCATGTGCGCCGCAAGGGCTTCAAGTACGACAAGAACAAGGCCATTCCCTGTCCCAAGTGCAATTACGACACGTCCGTCACCAAGGATCTGAGCATGTCGACGCGTTCGCACAAGTTTGGCCGCCAACAGCAAGGTGGCAGTGATGACGAAGAGGGCTATGGCGGCTACTATGGCGGTGGCGCTAGCGGCGGCAGCGGCTACTACGGTGGCGGTGCCACTGGCGGTTACGGCGACGACGCATCCGATGAATCTGATGACGATTACGAGGATGACGACGATGATGAGGATGATGATGATGATGAAGAGGAGTCGAGCGCCAGCGAGGCGGAGAAAGATGCAGCCGAAAAGAAAACCACAAAATAAGATCTGTAAAACTGATTAATAGATCAGATTAGATCTGCATTTGTACCCCCTTTATAAGGCCCATTAATGACTCACTTAATCAGTTTTTTGGCTGTGTAATTGTTGGGCCTGTAATGCAATTGTGAAATAAATTCAGTTGTCAAATCAACACAATTCAGACTGTACCCAGTCATGGCAACAGGCTTCACCTGGCCAACCTTGGTTGTTTTTGTGGCCTCGGACGAATGCAACAAGCTCCAAGTTGGCTCTTGGCCAATTGGCCATAGATTGAAGGTGGCCCGGTGGACCTCCATCTATAGTAGGATGGGGAGAAGTGGAAGGATGGCTGCCGTAATCAGGCAGCTGTGCTAAGGGCACATGATGATGGCGATGCCAGCGGCGCTGCCGGCAACGACGCTGGCTGACTCCTCTGTTGATAGACTCATCCATCTCCAATCCACTTACGAACGCAAATATTTACACAATTTACTCGAAAACGGAGGTATGAGCATATAATATTTCCAAAAACGATGGCAAACACACACGCACACATCCATCCAATCCATCGCACGCACTCCAACACACTCGCACGCACACAGACAGAATTTTTGGGAACATTTGGGAAATGTTTGGCAGTTAGGCAGAGCAGAAGAGCACAACATCAGCGAGGGAAAGGCATAAGAGGAAAGGGGGGGCACCAAACAGAACCCCATCATCATCATCATCGTCAGGCAGAAACATTTCAGGCATTGCAAATCAATGATAAGAGCGAGAGAGAGAGTGAAAAGGAGCATAGTATAGTTCAGTTCCTCTGCATATGAATGAAATCATATCGTCTCGTACATGTACGAGTATATCCCTGTGCGAGTGTGTGTGGAATAGGAATATGTTGGAGGATTGGGTGAGTGGGAAGGCAAATCAACTGTGTACATAATACAGATTAGTATGGGAGAGGATATGGCATGCACATGTACATACATATACTATATGCACATAAATACAGTGACGACTCGTTAGATTGTACTCAACGAAACCGAAAGTGCTTGTTCCAGTTGTATGAAATATCAAGTAATATTCAATGTAGGAATGCACTAAGATTTGGAACGATTGCTCCCATTGCTCCAAGCCAATCCAATTGCTCAAGAAATAAATGATGGGAATAATCTCTTCGATTTGTACGTATACTTAATCGAGGAATCACTGTTTCCACATACCGATGGCATAGATCAGGGCCAGCTTAAATATAATGGCTGCCTGCCAGCATTTTGTGTCTGCATTTCAATCAAAATGGCCAGGCCCAATGTCCCAATGTCCGAGCGAAGAGGAAGTCAGGGCTGCGCTACTCAACGAAATTAGAAATGCCATTGGGCGTGGGCTGGATGATGATGATGATGATGGGGGCTAACCAACTGAATCCCAATCCCTGGCCCGTGGAGAGTGGACAGTGGGTTAGTGGGAAGTAGGGAATTGTTTTGGACACTGCTCTGTGGTGGTCACTGCCAAACATCAATAATAATTCCATAAATGTAATCAGAGAGAAGCAAACAAGGGCCGAGTCAAGTCACTGTGATTGAGCTCTTAATTGCACTGCGATATTAATCCTTGAGCCATTCATCCCTTCCCATCCCATCCCTTTGGCCACTTCCCATCATGATGACCATTTTCATTAGATGGAGTGCATTCTCAATTACCAGATGGAGGGTCGGTCCATCAGTTAGCTAACCATCGAGAGTTTAAAGTCCCACAGAGATCAGGATACACGGAATGGCAGAGTTTCTAGGAACCCCCTTTAGAGACTCACTTCCGATCAGCATCAGCATCAGCATTATCTCTTGCTTATTTATGCAATGCAAATATTTTGGTTGCGCGAAGTCAAGCCATAACAAAAAGAGAGTTCGGGCCGGGTTTAGGATTAGGTGGGAAAATCCTTGGGACAATCCGAAAAACACGTGGAAAAGTCAAAAAGTCCGGCTTATGGCCAAACGCAATTAGCGTTAATTACGACGGAAAACAGCCTGCACCAGAGAAGATTCCCATGGCCAGGCCAGGCTGCATTCGCCTGGAAAAAAGGACCTGCTTCGGCTTCGTCCTGCTCCCACCACCACCATCACATTGCGGACACTTGAAGTTTAATTTAATTTTTTCTTGCGGCTGCCGTAACGTCGTTTGCTTCAAGTGATTGCGCCATGGGACTGCTACCATTGGCTGGTGGGTGGGTGGGTGGATTTGGTTGGTAGTGGAGTGCCTGATGTGGCATAGTTTCTAACGTCATCATCAACATCATCTACATCGACAGCGCCATCGACAGGCGCTCGTCAGGGCTGGTGCTGCTGCCGCAACTTGCGATGATTGATGGTGCGTAATTTGGAAAATTAGAAGCGTCCGGAAAGGACAGATAGGCCAGCCCAGGATACGCAGCAAAGGGGTGGCTCCGCTCCGCTCTGCTCTGCTCCGTTTTCCCTCCCATTTTTTGTGTTTTATTTTTATTTTTTGGCCTTTGCTAATGTTGTTGGCACAACAAGGTGTGTCCTGGTCCTGGTTGCCGGTTGCCGGTTCCCGGTTCCCGTTTCCCGGCCTGGTAGCCACTGCCGCCGCGTGTCCTGCCGCCGCTCGACGCTTGCGGGCGCGTGCAGGGCCCTACAACAAAGTTGCGCGTGGTTATTAGAAAACAATTTAATTAAATATTCACTTGAAGTACAACAGCAACAGCAACAAAGAGAGAGAGAGGAAAATAGCGTTGGCAGAGGCCTCACTTTCCCATCATAAAGAGCTCAAACAATGCCCATCAATATTAAACGATGTTGCTCGCTGTCCATTTAGAGCGCTGCTCCAGTTCCTCGTGTCCTTGTTCTTGCTGTTGTTTTTAGTCGTCGTCCTCGCTGGCCCGTGATGTAATGTGAGAAACTTTTTCGACTGTGGGTGTGTGAGAGTGTGTGGTCGAGGGTCGCTGGATTGGAGTGGAGTGGAGTGGAGAGGGGATACGGATAGCAGGCTGGGGGCCAGCGAACGCCTTTGATCTAGTTTGCAGCTAGAGACTTTTGTTCGGTTCGGGGAGAGTCCATGGAATTGTATGGATCAAAGCTTGAAAAAGAATAATTATGTTCCCAGCCGATATCCAATTTAGAAGGTTTCTATAAAGAGTTGCCTGAGCAGCCATGAAAATAGAAAATGTAAAAGAGTTCCTACCGATAAAATCTAGAAAATAATCTAAAAATTTTACAAAACTTTTTTAGGGAATTAAAAACCCGAAAGTCCCATTATTAATGGTTTCTTTTGAAGGAACACTTCCAGAAGTTAAGAAATTTGCTAATTTCCGAAGAGTTTTTGCTGCAGAAATCATTCAAAAATGTTCAAGCTCCCAAACTTAGAGCTTTACAAGTCCTTTCTGTCAAAGGTGCAGCATGGGAAGCCCTCACACAAAAGCTGTTACAAAGTCATCTCTTTTCAATTGTGCCCAGAAAGGAGCTTTGGCCTGGCATGCCGCACTGCAGCCGCACAGCAGGGGGCAACCAGCAAGGACACCGATGCCCAGAACCAGAGCCTTGTGCTCACCCGCACAACCAGCTGAGAAGTCAGCGCAGGACAATGGGAAAGTCGTTGGCTGTCTAATTGCATCAGCGACGCTTCCCTGGCCACGCGACCAGTGTGTCTCACCTGCAATTAAACTGTCACATTAGGAACGGGAGTGAGCGGCAGGGAGCGGGCGGGAGGGGGAGGAACGGGCACGCATCCATCCTATGCAATGGATTCTCACCTTAATGCAAAGTGATGACGCAGCCCGAAAAGCGATTCCAAATACAATCGGACAGGGCAGGGAAGGGCAGAGCAGGGCAGGGGAGGTAACTGAGTAACAATTGAGGGCCACGTGTCGGGCAGGACTGAAAGTTGGGCCCAATGCAAGAGGCAGGGACCTTCCACCAACCAAAAGTTTTGCTTAGGGATTAGCCGCAGCTCAGAGCGTGTCGTGGATGCGAATGTTGGTTGGTGGTTTGTGGCAGTGCCAATGCCAGAGCCAATGCCTAGACCTGCTTTCCACCCATTGTGCTTGCCCACAGTTACAGTTACAGCCAACTAATGAAAGCAAATCTCCGCATTAATTTCAAACGAATTTGTTTTGATGCCGTGATAAGCCGGCAACCGGCAACTGGCAACCGGCAACCGGCAACCTATTGTCGACATCATCCCAAACGGAAGAAAAAACAAAGTACGAAAAGCGTTTGCCATTTGGGCGACTGCCGGCTGATCCCACTGAGCTGTGCTCCATCCCCTTGCCCCTTGCCGCGTTCCCGCTCCCGGTCCCGGTCCGGTTTTGATTTCTGTCAATAGCCCGGCGGGCCGCCACTTGAGCGTCGAGATGCGGCTCAGCTTTGGCATCGAATGAAACTGAATTTTGCAATACGCCCGAGGGGATCCTGGCTGGAAGCACCCACACTCGCACACACACACACACACACACACACACACACACACACAGACGCGCGCGCTTTGCATTACAATTGCCGAGCCATCCGAACCACACCCCCACGACCTGCGCCCACGGCCAACTACAGTTATTAACCTCTACTTACACTGCTCCGCAGGGTTTGGTTTATGTTTTGCTTTATTGCTCGGCAAGTGTGTGCCAGCAATGCAGAGGGTTGAACGGACGTGAAGATGGTGTTGAAATAAATTGTAGATTTGATTGAATTTTCTGCATATATTTTCCACTTTACTGCAATAATTAATGAATGAATTGATCCCCTTTAATTTTCATCGCTTTTCTCTGCTCTCTGTTTTCGTTTTTATCCATGGTCCCAAGCACTTGGGAAATACTGTGATGAGCAGTGTAGTTTCGCTCGAGGCTAAGTGTGTAATTAAAGTAGTTGCGGTTCATTATGGCAATGTCGATGTCGATGTCGATGATGATGATGATGGTAATGGTGATTATGCTGACCTGCACTTGTCGTGGCCTGGGAATCTATTTGTACATCCCTTTACAAGTCCTGGCCGCGTGCTCTGCACGTGGGCCTGACCAATGATAATGATAATGATCTCACATGCAAGTGCCATCAAAACGGACTGTGAGAGCGTCTTTTCAGAGGCTAAACACTCGTCATTGTGTATCTGGCTAAATTATTTATTTGTCAACAATGGAATGGAATTTATATATTCCAGAATATGGCATATATT